AGGATTCACAGTGGAGCGAGCTATCAAATTGGAATTCAAAGCATCTAATAATGAGTGTTGGTAGGACTCGATATTGCGTACTTGGTCGGAGTTAGATGCCTCCACATTTTCTGCGACTCCCAGTTGGTAGTAAATCAAATCAATGATGACTTTGAGGTTCATGATAACAGAATGAAGGTATATCATCAGAAGGTAAAATCGGGGATCAGGAAGTTGGAGAAGGTAGAAATGTCCTAAATTTCAAGGGCTCATAATACCCATGTCGATGGGCTGGCCTGTCTCGCCTCGGCATTGGCCTCGGAGGTGACTTGGTATATTATCATTGAAAATAAAAAAATTTCGAGTATAAGAGACACAAAGGCCGAGCAGGTACAATCGACGCAAGTCCAAAGAATGCCTCTGAGTTGGATGGACCCCTTAATCAAATATTTGATGGAAGGGGAACTTCCTAAGGATATCAGAGAAGCTAGACAAATCAAACTCAAGGCTCCCAAGTTCTGGATATCTGTCAATCACAAGTTATACAAGAGATCCTTCTCGAGGCCACATTTATTTTGCATCCCCGAGGATAAAATAGAACATTTGCTCTATGAGGTTCATGAGGGTATATGTGAGAGTCATACAGGAGAAAGATCTCTCACACACCGAGCAATGTCTCAGGGGTATTGGTGGCCATACATGTAGAAGGATGCCAAGAGCTACGTCCAGAAATGTGATAAGTATTAGAAAATCGCTCCCATCCTCATACAACCAATAGGAGATTTGAACTTATTGACAAGTCCCTGACCATTTTCTCAGTGGGGCATGGATATTGTAGGGCTCTCCCGAGGGCCCATTTGGACAAGAAATTCCTCCTAGTAATTATTGATTATTTCACAAAGTAGATAGAAGATGAGTCTCTAAGCCGTATTCGGAACGTCAAAACAAAGAAGTTTGTATGACAAAACATTATCACTAGGTTCAGAATCTCTCGGGCCATCATCTCGGACAACGACACTCAATTCAATAGTGGTCAATTTATGGAGTTTTATTCGAAATTTGGAATACACAATTATTATTCCACTCCAACCTAATCACAAAAAAATGGACAAGCGGAGGTTTCAAATAAGACAGTGTTAACCAAAATTAAAAAGAGATTGGAAATGGCAAAAGGTAAGTGGACTGAAGAATTACTCAATGTGCTATGGACCTATAGGACAACGCTAAAGTAAACAACATGCCAAAAATATAAGTCATTTATCTACCGTATTAGAATTGTTAGTATTACTCAAGCATCAATCATTTGCTGAAATTTATATAAGTCACCTCTGGAATTAGCATGTGTATAATAATTTAATATATATAGGACTTTATTTCTTTATATAGATATAGAAAATTATATGTAATTGTATTGCTAATAAATGAGTACAAAATAAATTAGAAGTCCTTATAAAAGAATAAAAACAAGTTGAAAGTTAAATAGGTGTAAAAAATAAAAATTAGAAGTGGGTATAATTGACTTTATTATAATAATTAGAGATAAAATAAAAAATTAAAAAATTTTCGTAGATACTGACATTTATAAGTAGTATAGATTAGTGTGTGTGTGTGTATTTTGATGTGTTATTAAAATAATCTTTAGCCAAAATTGTAGAAGTGATCTTTAGTCATTAGATCAGCAGTAAAAAAAAAAAAAAAAAATTCTAAAACGATTTGAACCTCAAAAACCAAAGGCCATTTTTTTATGTTTTGGGATTTGAAATGCCTTATACTTTATTATATTGTGATAAAGATATATAACATATATTTCAACACATATTATTAATTTTCTGTCACTTTTCATCTCAATTTTAGAGAAATAGATTTGGATGAATTGGATGAAAGGTTAATCTTTCCATTTTTTCATCCTTATTTGCTTTTCTTACCAAACATAATATTTTATTTATCCTTTCAACTTTCTATATTTTCGTTTTTTCACCATATCAAACAATGCATAGAACCCCTCCAACTAATGCATTTGTTGTTCTTTCCCTTCATTGCTGAAAGGATTGTGGCTCTCCCATCCACACCTTTCCTAGCCCCTCTTTCGTTTTTTATTATTAAAAATTCTTGCTAGGGAAATGAGGATTTGATTTGGTGGGTTTCATAAGAATGCTACTATTAATGGGATTAATGGGTGACAATAGCCCTCTAACTTATTGACACTTCAACATAATACAAATGCAATTCAAGTATAAGTTTAGATGGCGCGACTAATTCTTAAAATACTTGAGTTTTTGAGTCGCCTATTTATTTTATTTAATATTCTATTAAGTATTAAATTGAAGAAAAAAATATCGGATGCAGCAATATGGAAATATCTGGTACATAAAGCCACAATCTGATAGGTATACATACATACATATATATATATATATATACATACATACATATATATATATATACATACATATATACATACATATATATATATATATATATATATACATATATAGATAGATAGATATAAATTAATCATGTTCTGTAATTAAAGAAAGTTACTGAAAATAGCTCTTATGTTTTAACTTGGAATAAACTTTTATGTGTGGAGGAACGGAATAAGAATTTATTCTTATGGAGCATCTAGAAACAAGAAGATTGAATCGGAAATATCGACAAATTCTTACGGAGTCCAAAAAAGTGAAATTAAAATAAAAAGAGGTCAACTGCTCTAGTTTCATCTTTTAATATTAAAATAACGGATACACTCAGGTCCACTTACGTTTTCTTTAGGTGATTTCTAGTCTTTACAATGGATTTAATTGGCATTATGAAAAATAAGAATATTTAGTAATTCAAGATGATTGAAGTTTTATTAAAAACACTAAAATCCTTTATCGGATTTGATTTGATGACTTATGCCTTACCATAACATTACTCTACCATTTAGTTAAAAGGGCCTATTTGACCACACCTAAAATCGAGTTAAGTTCTAACTGTTCAAGGTGACTCCGAAGTAATACGATCAACTAAGCCTTATTTGGCTACCTCATGAGCAACTGTTAATGGCCATTATGAGGAAATCCTTTACGAATGAGATATATTAGTTACATTTATATATGAAAAAATGAGATTTGGTGATATAATGTAGGGTCTTCCAAAAGTGGAACAAGTGTTAGAGTTGCGTTTGATTGATTCAATAGCAATGAATTTCAAAAAGAGAATTGAAGATTGGAACGAATGCATAACAAAAATTCTTAGAATTCCTTGAGAATTCTTGATTGGTGCGGAGCTAACTATAGTGTAAAGCAATATATCTTTGATAAATAAGATCCAAAATATTTATCAATCTTTAAGGGTGTAGATCCATAATAGGCATATAAAAATTATTGTAGGTACATCTTGTATCAAGCACGGCAAAAAAAAATTCAAAAATTGAAATCAATCCTCACAATGAGGTGGAGGATCTTATCAACTCGTGTTGTAGACAACTTTCTATCTTCAAAATCTTACAATTATGGACATATTTAATGACAAAAGCCAAATACATATTCATGCTAAGCAATGCACTAATTATATTTTAAAAAAAAATTTGTTTAATGTTATACGATTTCAATTGCAATTTTTCTTTCTCAACCACCACGAAATGCAAGTGGGCTCAGACGAAAATGGACCCGTCCAAGTCATCTTCTTTATAGATTTAAAGGTTACGTGAACCAATGACACTTCTCCTTCCATCTTCCAGCTCGGTTAAGTCCATGCAGCCATTAAAGGTCCAACATGACCATCCATATATTATAAAAACACACCCATTTCCTGATTATAACCACCCATTTTCAATAAAACAAAGGAGAGAGGTTTAAGAGAAGAACAAATAACAAAAACCAAACCATCTGGCGAAAAGTAAGGTAAAAACAAGAGTTGATGGAACTGACGAATCTCATTGCCTAACACAAGAACCTAATTGCCAGAGGTTTGAGGATTGAGGTTTGGTTTCTTATCAGCCACTAGTTATTGTTATACATGCTTGTATGTGTAATAATGTGTACATGTGGCAATTTTGCTGAGTGACACTAGTGTGGCTGTTTGGTTTTTTCTTGTGATACGTGGGTTATTTTCTGGTCAATTAACGACAAATGAATGCATTGCAAGAGTGGCTCTGTTGAGATTCTTCTTCCTGAGCTGTGGTGGGGTTCTCTATGGTGATAAAAATCAGAGATTCTGTAAGTACTGGTTTGGATTCTTGTTGAAGAGAACAATATATGTCAGTGTCGTGTTCTCTTTATTCATATGGGTCTTTTCGACCCAAGACAGCTATTGAAAATTGAAAGTAAGTTGCTTTCTTTTTTTTGGCTGAAAATATGTTCATGTGATGGTTCTGGAGTTTGTTTTTCAAAAGTTTTATATTAAAATGTTTCTGGGTTGAAGGAATCTGTGAATTTTCTTCTTTTTCTTGTGGGATTTGCATGAGGTCGATGTGCTTTTATTCGAGAAATTTTCTATTTGGTTTTGCTAACTGTGTCCTGAGTTTCTGTGTGCAGTTGAGTAATAGTGGGCAATTCTGTTGAAGGGTTCATGCATTTCACCTCTCTGTAATTCATGCTTAACTGAAGGCGGAAAGAAACAGGCCTGCACACCCCCCCCCCCCCCCCCCGGCGGCCCCCCAAAAATAAAAAAATTGAGGTTTGATATTTTGAGTTTCCTCAAGGTTAGTTCAAAATCAATGAGGGGATCCGGGCTATTAAATGCAAATATTATCATTAGTTGCACCCAATAAATAAGAACTCCATACATTTCACTTTTTAAATTTGTTGGTGTTTGGATTTCCAGATAGATGATTTGGCTCTATTAGTGCCGCATTTCTTTTCTGAGGGAAACTTGTGAAGTTGCTGTATGGCATACCTTATTTGACTGGACTCTTGAGTGGAAAATCACCCATAAAGAGATCAAATCTTTGTCTTCTTGCTTCATTAAGCTGTTCTGATATTACATTACCTGGGAATTGGGACTGTTAAATTGCAATAAGGATGATGCTTTATAAAATGAGTTCAGGTAAAGAATTACTAAATATGCTTTTTGTAGACCTAGATGTTTTGCTGACTAGAACAACTCTTCTAACTAGCAAGTTAGATTTTCATATCTTTTCTTTTTCCTAGCCAAGCAAGTAGGACAGGTCTCACGTGATGGAACGATGTCTGAGTCATAGTGTCTGTTTTGGTGCCTCAAACTTGTGACTGCAAAAATTATGAGATTTACTTTTTGTTTCATATCTGCATTACTTTCTGATATCCAATCAATATTTTATTTCCTCTGTCATGAAGGAGAATTTTAATGATTTAAAAGAAATGAAATTCCTCGCTATTTAATAATAGTTTCAACTGAATATTGTGCAATCATGATTGCTGAAGGCAAAATTGTAAGACTTCATCTATCTGTCATTGATTTCGGTTAGCAAATCATAGTTTGGTTGTTATATATGGAGATAGGTAGCAACTTTTCTTTTGACTAATTAATCCCGCTATTGATTTCTTCTTTTCTTTTTTGAAGATTCGGTTAATATGGTGACTAGAAGAGTGGATCTCCGATCTGACACAGTAACAAAACCAACTGAAGCAATGAGGGCTGCTATGGCTAAAGCTGAAGTTGATGACGATGTATTAGGTAATGACCCGACAGCCCTTTGCCTAGAAACAGAGATGGCGAGGATTTTGGGCAAGGAAGCGGGACTATTTGTTCCTTCAGGCACTATGGGTAACCTCATTAGTGTGCTTGTTCATTGTAATGTTAGAGGGAGTGAAGTCATACTCGGTGATAACTCTCATATCCATATATATGAAAACGGAGGCATTTCAACAATTGGAGGGGTCCATCCAAGGACAGTTAAGAATAACAAAGATGGAACGATGGATATTAATCTGATTGAAGCTGCCATTCGAGATCCTGAATTCGAGATTTGTTACCCTACTACTACGCTTATCTGCTTGGAAAATTCACATGCAAAGTGAGTATTAGTGTTATGCTGTTTATCTGTTCTGAGCTAGCTTTAGCTTTTCCTGAAGAGTGCATATTCCAGTGAAGCGGTTAATTAATTGATGATATCCACCAGATGTTTATACAGTGTAGGTTTCCACTATGTTTAGCAAACGCTGGTCATAACTTATTTTCCTTTCCCTTCTTACGTAATTTAGGGTTGGGGAAAGAAGTGCCCCCCGGGGAGGGGGTATAGCTTGTAGTTTTTGAAGGAGAGAATATTATTTTTAATTCTTATGGCTGTTTGCCAGTTTTTGTGGGGCCAACTTTCTCTTATCCTCCATTTTTAATTGAAAAACGTTGAAGGCTGTTCTTGGCATGTTTAGAGACCCGAATGGTGTATTTAACTTTCCTATGATTGGATGGTTAAATGCAGTCAGTTTGCAGTTGTTATCATGCTTAGGCATGGTGAATAAGCAAGTTAATTTTTTCTTTTTTAACCAACTGGTCTGTGTTTTAGTAGTTGAGTTTGCAATATGACAAGATTATGGGCGATTGTCTCCTACATGTTCACACAGGGCTATGCCTTTTCTCCGTTGAAGATGGCTTATAAGTGTCTAGGTGGTGTCATCAGTCTTTCAGAAATGATTTGACTTTTGTCTGGCCTGTGAATGCAGCATCTGACCCTAAAAGATCTTACCACTTCTCTGTTTTTTTTTTTTTGTTTTTTTTTTCATCATGCATGAAACTTTGTGGACTTTGATAACTGACTTTCAAAGATCATCAATGGCCTTATAACCTCAGTAGACAAAGGCTCTCCAACTTCCTCAGTCACTTGGGGATGATGTTGGGGAATTGGTCGTTTCTCTAATACTTCACAAATGCCAGGCTGTTGTACACTTTTCGAATGACTGGCACTGTCAAATCTCTGTTGCTCACATATTTAAGTCAGTAAAGAGATTTGGCGAGTTGTTTCATTCACAATCACATATCTTGTTTTAAAGTTTAGTTATTGATTATATAAACATGCTTCAACTGAGATTGGATGTGACTCGATTAGCATATATTACTGATCCTTTCTGGAAAGTATGACTGATCCCTTTCTGTAAAAAATGCATTTTTGGCCTTGTTATGAGACATTGCTGTATTTTTAACATAATAAAACTTCAAATCTATTTCAGGTATAAAGATTTCCTTATAACGGTGCATCAAAACCCTCTAGGCAGTTGTATCAATGATGATGGGTTAAGCCCAAGTAGTCCAATTTATGTATTAAAGCCCAACCCCGGTTGAGGAGCCCAACCTCATCGTGAACCCACCAAGTCCAAGACAGACTAAGACCGGCTAGACTTCTTGCTTAGCACGTCACCAAGAGGAGAGCACGGGAAGTTTATCTACACCGCCTTAGGGAGCCCAAGGCCGGTTGGACTTCTTGCTTAGCACGTCACCAAGAGGAGAGCACGGTTGGACTTCTTGCTTAGCACGTCACCAAGAGGAGAGCACGGTTGGACTTCTTGCTTAGCACGTCACCAAGAGGAGAGCACGGTTGGACTTCTTGCTTAGCACGTCACCAAGAATAGAGCACAAGAAGCTTATCAACGGTCCAATCTTTGGCCACGTTTCTTGAAGAGTTCCCCAAACTCTTCCTCCCGTTGAGAATAAGTCGTGATCTCCACCGAAGATAATCTCTAAGCTGCGATAAAGAAGCCTTGAGGATATGTTATGATCTCCACAAGAATGATCTCTTATCTACTATAAAATGGCTCTAATCTGAGAGAGAAGGGACACATGCTCCATCAGAGACTTTCAGAAGACGAACCGACTACCGGAGATTATTGTTTTTCTCTGATTCTCCATTCCCCCTCTCAAAGCTTGTATCTCCGTTCTCCATACCTTTGAATCAATAAAATACCCGGCGACTGAAGCCATTGAAGAGTGGACGTAGGTCGAATTGACCGAACCACTATAAATTGTGTCTTCTTTAATTTTCTCATTGATTTCATTGCATTTATTATCCATACTTGACAGGTGGTGTGCAAAACCATTTTTGTGCATCATCAGTTTGGCGCCGTCTGTGGGAAATCGACAAAATTATCACTCCTGAACATTACGTCCTTTACTAATGGCGATCACTACTCGATCCATGAACCAACACGAAGACAATCCTCCACGAGAGGAAGAGGTTGCTCCCCCGCCTATCAACCCTGTTCCGGATACTCTAGCCCCGAATCCCCAACAATATATGGAGACCATGCAGCAACTGGTTGCTCAAAACCAACAGTTACTGCAACTCATACTTGCTGGACAAGGAGGAGCACCACACGGAGGTGCACAACATGGAGGACCCCAAGGTGGAGCACCACACGGAGGTGCACAACATGGAGGACCCCAAGGTGGAGCACCACAGGAGGTGCACAACATGGAGGACCCCAAGGTGGAGCACCACATGGAGGTGCACAACGTGGAGCACCACATGGAGGGCCCCACGGAGGTGCACAACATAGAGCACCCCAAGGAGCTCCACATCCTGGACATCAAGAAGCACCACGCCCTGTTGCTCCACGCCCGGGTGCCCCATTGGGCACCCCACTTCGGAAAGCCCAACATGAGGGAGCTCCATTGGGCACCCCACTTCGGAAAGCCCAACATGAGGGAGCGGCACCTCCCCCTCTCCTTGCTTTCCAGGGAGAGGACCCTTATCTCCAGGAGGATGAGGGTGAAAATCAAAGCATGGGGCATGGAAGCCACCTCCATGATCATTCCAGAAGAGCCCCCAATCATTGGGACGAGAAGATAAAGGAGGTACAGAATCAACTCGGTGATGTCTTCAACGCCATAAAGGCACAAGGACCCGAGACTGTTGACCACCTGGTAAGGCGTATTGATACCCCTTTCAAACCTGATGTAGCAAACTACCCCCTCCCTCAGAAGTTCAAAATGCCATCCGTGGAGACCTTGATGGAACAAAGGATCCACTGGACCACCTCGACACTTACAAGATCTTGATGCAATTGCACAACGTACCAGACGAAATCATGTGCAGGGCATTCCCAACCACATTAAAGGGGTCTGCCCGACAGTGGTTTGCTAAGCTCTCTCCCGCCTCTATTACCTCTTTTGCCGAGCTTAGCAGATCATTCGTCTCACACTTCATAGGAGGGCGTCGCCACCAGAAGCCAGTTACGCACCTGCTTAGTATAAAGCAGGACCGCAAGGAGAGCCTGAGGAGTTACCTCACTCGTTTTAACGAGGAGGTACTTCAAGTTGATGAACCCGACGACAAGGTGACGATGACCGCCTTCTTGGGTGGCCTCCGTTCATCAAGTTTCCTTTTCTCAGTTCTGAAGCGCCCACCGAAGAGCATGCCAGAACTATTCACAAAAGCTCAAAGATATATGAATGCTGAGGAAATCAACAAGTTTAGGCAAGGTGGATCATCTCACAGATCACCAGAAACTTGACCTGCCTCTGCACTGTTCTCAAACAGGCAGCCTATCTCCAGCTTAACGGCTCTCTCAAGGGCCGCCGAAAAAAAAAAAAAAAAAAAAAAAAAAAAAAACTTAGCTTCTGTACTGTTCTCAAACAGGCAGCCTATCTCCAGTTTAGCGGCTCTCTCACGGGTCGCCAAAAAACTTGGCCTCTGCACTGTTCTCAAACAGGCAGCCTATCTCCAGTTTAGCGGTTCTCTCACGGATCGCCCAAAAACTTGGCCTCTGCGCTGTTCTCAAACAGGCAGCCTATCTCTAGTTTAGCGGTTCTCTCACGGATCGCCCAAAAACTTGGCCTCTGCACTGTTCTCAAACAGGCAGCCTATCTCCAGTTTAGCGGGTCTCTCACGGATCGCCCAAAAACTTGGCCTCTGCGCTGTTCTCAAACAGGCAGCCTATCTCCAGTTTAGCGGTTCTCTCACAGATCGCCCAAAAACTTGGCCTCTGCACTGTTCTCAAACAGGCAGCCTATCTCCAGTTTAGCGGTTCTCTCACGGATCGCCCAAAAACTTGGCCTCTGCACTGTTCTCAAACAGGCAGCCTATCTCCAGCTTAGCGGCTCTCTCACGGGTCACCAAAAAAAAAAAAAAAAAAAACTTGGCCTCTGCGCTGTTCTCAAACAGGCAGCCTATCTCCAGTTTAGCGGTTCTCTCACGGATCGCCCAAAAACTTGGCCTCTGCACTGTTCTCAAACAGGCAGCCTATCTCCAGCTTAGCGGCTCTCTCACGGATCGCCCAAAAACTTGGCCTCTGCGCTGTTCTCAAACAGGCAGCCTATCTCCAGTTTAGCGGTTCTCTCACGGATCGCCCAAAAACTTGGCCTCTGCACTGTTCTCAAACAGGCAGCCTATCTCCAGTTTAGCGGTTCTCTCACGGATCGCCCAAAAACTTGGCCTCTGCACTGTTCTCAAACAGGCAGCCTATCTCCAGCTTAGCGGCTCTCTCACGGGTCACCAAAAAAAAAAAAAAAAACTTGGCCTCTGCGCTGTTCTCAAACAGGCAGCCTATCTCCAGTTTAGCGGTTCTCTCACGGATCGCCCAAAAACTTGGCCTCTGCACTGTTCTCAAACAGGCAGCCTATCTCCAGCTTAGCGGCTCTCTCACGGGTCACCAAAAAAAAAAAAAAAAAAAAAAACTTGGCCTCTGCACTGTTCTCAAACAGGAAGCTTATACCTCAAGCTTAAAGACTCCCTCATGGGTAGCCAAAAGCTAGGTCTCAAAAAGTGTAGCTCTCTCACGAGCAGTTCTCCAACTCTGTCTTTGCTCTCGCGCAAGCAGCCTACTTCTCTCTCTCTCCAGGTAATTATGTGAGATATTTTAATGTTTGGAATAACATTATTTTTGTCATCACAAGTAGGTTCTCCCGAGGCAGCCCCAGGCTCACCCAAAGCGCCCAGCACCTGGAGAAGGGCTTGATCATCAAGAGCAGCACCCAAGGGTTCCTTACTACTTGCAATGTCTAGCCCAACGCCTAGAAATGTGTCTGACTGCTGTTGCTCGTCAAAACAAAGTTGCCCAGTAGCTTGAAGGGTGTCTGGCCCTTCAAAATTGCGCAAAGCAGAATTTTCGGCGCAAAAATCAGCACCTAAGGGGCCCAAATCAGCGCCTCGAGTGAGAATCGGATCAGCCTGTGCTCCCAGGCCACTGCCTAGCTCTCCCTGACGAACCTCGGACTGCGCCCCTTGATGAAAAAATGCTGCTGCCCAGCGTTCCAAAGCCGCCCAGCGCACCTGGGCTGTCCAGGACAGCAAGGCCAGCGCCCAGGCAGTTGCCCAGTGCGCCTGAGCTGTCCAGGATGTGAGGAGCAGAGCCTAGGAAGCCGCCCAGGCCCCCAGCGCCTGCGCTGCCCAGCTGCGTGCGCGCCTGCGCGCCCGCGCGCCCAGCGCCCGCGCGCCCAGCGCCCGCGCGCCCAGCGCCTTAGCGCCCAGCGCCTGCGCTGCCCAGCTGTGCGCCCAGCGCGCCTGCGCTGCCCAATCGCGCGCCCAGCCGTCTCCCTTTCTTCAACCTCCACCACTCCCTCTTCAAAATAAAATGGGAAAGATTTGAAGTTTAAAAAAAAAAAAAAAAAAAAAATGTAATCAATGCCTCCTTCTCCAAGTCTCCTTGGACATGGGGCATTGGGGGGGCAAATGATGGGTTAAGCCCAAGTAGTCCAATTTATGTATTAAAGCCCAACCCCGGTTGAGGAGCCCAACCTCATCGTGAACCCACCAAGTCCAAGACAGACTAAGACCGGCTAGACTTCTTGCTTAGCACGTCACCAAGAGGAGAGCACGGGAAGTTTATCTACACCGCCTTAGGGAGCCCAAGGCCGGTTGGACTTCTTGCTTAGCACGTCACCAAGAGGAGAGCACGGTTGGACTTCTTGCTTAGCACGTCACCAAGAGGAGAGCACGGTTGGACTTCTTGCTTAGCACGTCACCAAGAGGAGAGCACGGTTGGACTTCTTGCTTAGCACGTCACCAAGAATAGAGCACAAGAAGCTTATCAACGGTCCAATCTTTGGCCACGTTTCCTTGAAGAGTTCCCCAAACTCTTCCTCCCGTTGAGAATAAGTCGTAATCTCCACCGAAGATAATCTCTAAGCTGCGATAAAGAAGCCTTGAGGATATGTTATGATCTCCACAAGAATGATCTCTTATCTACTATAAAATGGCTCTAATCTGAGAGAGAAGGGGACACATGCTCCATCAGAGACTTTCAGAAGACGAACCGACTACCGGAGATTATTGTTTTTCTCTGATTCTCCATTCCCCCTCTCAAAGCTTGTATCTCCGTTCTCCATACCTTTGAATCAATAAAATACCCGGCGACTGAAGCCATTGAAGAGTGGACGTAGGTCGAATTGACCGAACCACTATAAATTGTGTCTTCTTTAATTTTCTCATTGATTTCATTGCATTTATTATCCATACTTGACAGGTGGTGTGCAAAACCATTTTTGTGCATCATCAAATGATGTTCTCCCTTTGTTTTCATTTTATATTATTTGATGTTGATTTGTCCATGTATCTCGATATGACCTATATCCTGTCCAATTTTATTTTCATGTTGTCTCCTTTCCATATGGATTCAGTTGATAGCATAATGAGATTTCTTTCATTTATTTACCTGGATTTCCAGGAGGAATGTTTAATTAACTAAGTTTTCCATTGAACCGGTGTGATCCATCATGTTGGGCTGTATATTGGTTATCTTTGGATTAGTGTCAGATTTATGGGGTAATCCTATCCATTTTCCAGAGATCTGAAACCCAAATTTTTGTTAAGAATATTTTGTCCAAACTATTTATTTATTCCTAGGAAAAGCAATGTTATGTGATTCTCTTCTTTCTCATCCTCATTTTGAGATGCTTGCACAGGTCAATACATTTTTAGATTGTCGAAGTATTGTTCACCACTTATTGGCTAATGCATCACATGCATAATGGGTCTTTCAACAAATTTATGATAGGTTTTCAAACCGAGGATTGATTTTACCGTATAATTTGGAATTTATCGATGGATAAGTCTTAGTAGTGATATTTTGGGTAGTTAACATGTGCTCTTTTTTCTTTCTTATTTGCTCTCCTGTCCACCTTTTTATACATTATGCAATTGCTTACCAGTGATATTAATGCAGCTCTGGTGGTAGATGTCTTCCTGTAGACTACATAAACAAGGTTGGAGAGTTGGCAAAGAAGCATGGGTTGAAGCTTCACATTGATGGGGCTCGGATCTTTAATGCATCAGTTGTGAGAAAAAAACTTAACTTTATGTCGATATTGGTTATTTCGGCGATATTTGGTAATCAAAACTAATGAAAATGGAAAAATAACAATAAATAGTGTGGAATATGTTTAACCATACAAGTACAGGTGAGTGATCGGTTGTTCTTGATGCTTTGGAGTACTCTGGATGATTGGGTGATAAAATTGGTAAAATGATTGAATTCTTGACATGAAGGGATAGCTTTGTTCGATGAATATTAGGAACCGTAGATTGAAATAGTTGGAACATGCAGAAAACTGCACTGTATGCATTGAATTCAAAGTCACTATTTAGTCAGCAATCATATTTTCCTTTTTTGTTTCCTTAAATTTTTCTTTGCATTTATGGGAAAGTGGATTAATTTTTAATTCGGAAAACTTCCTTCCAGGCACTTGGAGTACCTGTTCATAGGCTTGTTCAGGCTGCTGATTCTGTTTCGGTAAGGTTCTAACTTATATTTTTTTTCTTGCTAGATTCCTTTTTTTCGTGTTCACATAGTTCAACATCTAGACCTCTATTTCCTTCTAGATGCAAATGCACATCTTTATTTAAACATCTGACATGTGTGTAGCCATATACACTATTTTCGCATCTTATTATTGCATTATGTGCGCGCTGATTTTTGCACAATAGATGAAATGGGAACAGATTTCTTCCCTGGTGAATTTGAGTTCATCAAGGTGGTGGATTTCGCAACAAGGAATGAGTTGAGAGGGCAAAAAAAGGCCTAAAGAGTGGTGATGAATTGCCCTTGGGGATATCCGATCGATCTCGGAGAGTCGCAGGATGCTCCTATCACACAGAAAAAAAAGTCAGAAGGGCGCCGAAGTGTTTTCCAGCGTATCCCCTCCGACGATCAAGTCAGTTCTTTAAGAGAGGGGAAGAAGAAAGTACTATGTTGCTCTTAAGGGTTATTTTGCGTACCTTTATAATGTGTTTTTAAGGACTATTTATACATTCAAAGACCCATCATTGCTGATGGTCTAGACAGTAGGTAGTAGGCAGCGTTCAGAAAGGGGGTAGTGTGCCTCCTACTTTGCATGGGGAACCCCCATTATTAATTGCCGGTGTGCCGAGTAGTTAATGCTCTTTCTTCAATGTGGGGACATTAAATGCACAGGCCCTGGATCATTTAATGCTCCCACTCCTCGGCTCCCAAAGCCACTGTGGATGTCCCATCGTTTGAGGATTCATTAAATGTTTGTCTGAAATAGCCGTATGTCAGCAGGGCTAGTTCTGTCTTTTTACCCCATACCCTGCTCTTTATGCCACGTGTTCGACTCCTCTTGGTTGAGTGTACAGTTCATTTTCTTGTTCTGACTTCATTGTGCAGAGTGCCCTCATGATTCCTACTCTAGTTTAGACGCTCAACTGTCAATCAATAGCCTCTTTAGAAGCCGAGAACTCGTGGTATGGTTAAGGTTTCAGTGGATACCTTGGGGCCGAGGACACTTGATTCCCCCCAAGTAAAGGTACCTTCGGAGCTGAGGGCACATGCCTTGGCACCGAGGAACATGTCATCGTTAGAGTAGGGGTCTCGGTACCGAGGACACGTGGCCTCGCCAGAGTTAAGGATGTACCTCAGCGCCGAGGACACGCGTCGTTGATATAACACCTCCTTGAAGTGTCCCATCACATTATATAGCATATCCCCTTCTTGTTGTATCCGTTTTGGCTTTTTTAACATTTTGAATATGTGGTTTAGGCATGCCTATCAAAAGGCCTGGGTGCTCCAGCTGGAACTGTAATTGTTGGTTCAAAAAGCTTTATTGCCAAGGTACTACATCTTTTTCAGCAATGAGTAAGAATGATATTTTCTCTTGGTTGCAGAAACTTAGCCTTCGGTTCCCTCTGGTTTTATAGGCTAAGATTCTTAGGAAGACGTTAGGTGGTGGAATGAGACAGGTCGGTGTCCTGTGCGCAGCTGCTTTGGTTGCATTGCAAGAGAATGTTGCAAAGCTTGAAGGTGATCACAAGAAAGCTAAGGTTTTAGCTGGTAATATATTACTCCATTCTTTATTTTTTTCTACATTAAATTCTTTTTTGTTGGAAGGCATGGCCACTGTCTGCTTTATCAAATTTTGCATAGCTGACAGGTTTCCATTTTGCTACATACTTCAAATACGGTGATTTGCTTTCCTGTTATCAATCTATGCATTTGTGCTGCTAATGTTTTTCTTTTGGATATGAACTTTTTTACCAGAGGGACTGAACAAAATCAAAGGACTAAAAGTGGATGTTACTTCTGTGGAGACCAACATTGTAAGTAGCCTAGTTATGGAAGCACAAGCTGTTGGGCAGTGAGCTGTTTTTTTTTTGGCTGAATGGTCTTGGTTGGGAAGCTACTGATACTTGTCTCTGTTGTATAAATTTTAAGTCTAACCAATTTTGACTTTGCCATTATGAATTTGTATTTTCTCCGCAATGGCCAAATATGTTTATTAATATCAAAATTTGTCTGCAAAATATATTACTGCAGCCCCCATTGTCTAGGCTAGCAGTGAGCCAGCTTCTTTTTTACTCAAGCCTCGATTCATGTTAGGATATTAAGGATCATATTTGAGGATCTCTCACCTTTCTTCCCCCTTCTTTCCTGCATGGAGGTTTCCAAGATAAAATAGCCTTTTCTTGTGACAGTTGTTTGGTTTGTTAATTAAGTTCCCAAAATTTAGATATCAATTGCGCATGAATGTGGACTATGTGTGCAGTGTGATCAGAATGTTTATATGAGGATTTTTGTTTTCATAGGTTCTAATCAATGTTTTATCAATCTATCACATTACTTGAGGTGCTAGAATTTTGGGCTTGAAAGTGTTTGTTTTAATTAAATTTGTGTCAAGTTTTCATGGTCTATTTTCGGAATATACAAATGATAACATTCAATTTTTATTTTCTCATGGCCAGGTATATTGTGATATATTGGAGGGGACAAATATTACTGCACCCAAAATTTGCATGGCTTTGGAAGAACTTGGTATACTTGTGATGCCAGAGGGTTTATCCAGGTATGGTTCTGTTTCTAAACAATTTTCATGATTCATGAACCTTGTTCACTGTTTACGCAAGCATAGCATATTTTGAGTCCAGTTTTAGAGGTTTATGGTTGTTGATTGCAAATAGGTCCAGGTGGACTAGTATTTTTATAAATACTAAAAATATTAACCAAGGCACATAGGAAATCGCCCTGGTATTGCATTTTTAGCTTATGTGATAAAGAAGTGCAAGGTTGGGCATTAAATTCTAAACTGAAGTTACAAAATTTCAATTCAAAGATTGAAGAGAAAACATTCAGCCTAAAATTTGCCCTGGCCCAAATTCGTAACTGTTAAGTTGCTAAATTTGCGAGGTCGGTATTCCAATGGCTAACTTTTGCAACGCTTTCCAAAATATTTTGCTAATGTATGTCAAATATTAATTGAAGTCTATATGACTAGGTCATTAGAAACTTGGTAGGACTTATCAACCAAGGTTTGCACATCTCTTTCGAAGTTTCACTATTTGCTCAAATTAAAAAAGGCTTACACTAGTTTCCTTTTGGTTATTCTTTAGGAGAAACTCATGGAAAAGAAATTTGAATCCAAATCTTCAGAACTAATAAAAACTCTCTGTGCTCAAGTCCTCAACTTCTTATTTAAACAGAAGTCCCTTCTGGAGGATTATTTTGAAAGTGTCTTGTGAGAGAAGGTCTCAGACTCCATATACAACAAAGGTTTCTTGCTTTTTCATCTTGTAATCTTTCACCCACTGAACTCCAATTTTGGTCAAGTTAATTTAATGTTCAATGAAAGTTCTCTAATTCTAAAAATGCAGGCGTCTATAATATCTTATTCATTTGGCTTATAAGTCTTTCTTATGTGTGTTGATTTGTTTTTACTTGATGGTTTATGACCTTACAAGATTTTCGTATACCAAAGTAATAGTCAAAAACAAGAAAGAGATGAGGGATGCGAATTTTCTGATGAAATTTGTATTCTGCTTAAAAACAAAATCACTTTTCTTATGTAAACTGAGGATTTAAAAAAAAAAGATAGTATTTCAATCGCAAAGTACTTTTTGAATAAGTATAATTGGTTTTACCATTTACTTCAGTTGATTATTAGAAAAATTTATAAAAAAAGAAAAAGAAAGTTTTTACTTTAAAAACACTTGCTCATTTTTACACCTACCACCACAATCACTACCATCCCACCATCACCCACACTTCCACCTTCCCCCCTCCCCCCCCCCCCCCCCTCCAAAAAAAAAAAACACCATTGTCATCGCCAGCACCACCAATATATATTAGCATTTGGGGATATACAAAAAATTTTGACACAGATAGGTCTATTTTTTGTTGAGCCTTCCAAACGCATTATTTCTAATTGTTTAAGAAGTTCTGTTGGAATTTCATATATTCTTTCACACGCCACCTCAGCTTAGTCTTGTCCCACAAATATAAGCATATGGTAAAGTTTGTTAGATGGACTTTTTTGAAGCAGTAATCACTAAATATTTTTTAGCAATTTTGTCAAGAAAAAGAAATCTGAGGTTCCAAGACTAGCTGACATATACTGTCTTATAGAGGGAGGGTTGTTTGTTCTGGTTCCACCAATACTTGCATACTATTACGCTGATTCATGAATTTTGGTTAACTGACCTTGTGGTTTTCTAATATTTTGTGAAACAAAATGGTTTTTGATTGAACAACCTTAATTTTCATGGACATTGATCATTTAAACAGGAAGATGACTTCAATATTTAATTGTTGCAGAATAAGGATTGTGTTTCACCACCAAATTTCAGAAAGTGATGTGCAGTACACCCTGTCATGCATTCAGGTAGTGAATAATCGTGCCAATATCCATCCTGAATGTTTTTTCGCTCCAAAATCTGAAACTGACGTTTAAATCATGGTGCTCAATTGTTGCAGCATGTTGTAACTGGAACCCCACATGAAAATGGTGACACGTGAGATAAGTTCCTCTCTTTTTAGGGCCATCTCCATCTTCTGCAATGGTGTTACAGCTATGGTGACAAAAAAAGTCATCTTGGTTTCAGAACCCTTTTAGCTGATCTATTATGTATGAATCTCCAATAAAGTTCTTCAAGTTTTTATATGCTCTCTGTTGCTATGTTTGCCGTACCTAATCCAGGAATGAAAAGTTTAATATGGGAAAAGCTTTGATATTGATATGTCTCTGGTCTACATATCATAGTGTGTATGCTATGCAATTTTCATTGGTCATCTGAGACTTTTGGCATAATGTATGATAGCATTGCAACCTCTGCGTTAATGGCTGCTAGTTCTCAGGTGGTTCTAGGAAACATTTTGATTGCCCTGTCATTAATTTGAGACTAGAGGACCTTCTATAGCCTGTAAAAGGGGTGAGCCAAATGTGCCAGGACTTACAGGTATGCTGGCGAGATTTGGTCTGGTTTTCCAATGAATTCTTGGTTAAGAAGGCCTGTGCTACTCCAAATTCCACTTTGTTAAGACATCATATATATAACATTCTGGCTAAAATTGGTTATTCTTTTCATATTAGAGGTGCACCAGCTGAAATACTCACTATCAATTCAATTACTATGATCCATTATATCATCAAATAAGATCATTAAATTAGGTACAAATAGTATTTTTCTAAGATGAGATGGCTCCATTTGGTCTCATCTCACGTCCATAGCACTAGAACACTGGAACACCAGAGAGGTTCATTTTTTCTCAATTGAAACCCTCTTATGGAGATTCTTTTAATTAAACCAAGCAGATAAAATAGTAAATCAGAGAAAAAATTTATCTCCCAACCCGACTGTGCCCATGTCCATTATTAAGTGGGAGTGAGAAGTGTAATTACTAAAGTTCTATGGGGATGAGATCCAGATCCTCTCTATTAGACTTTTACTCAAATAGTTGGATCCCCTTAAAATTTTGAGTAAAAGTCAAATGAAAAGGATCACAATCCATGGATTTGTTAGTTTTAACAATAGGGTTGGATGGATTGGAATGTCCATTCCAACATCACAGGATGGAGTGAGGGAGTATAATGATAGAGTAAGATCCTTTCAATACATATGTCTCTTTATTTTCTTTTGGTGGATCATATACCATTAATTTAAATGGGACTCACTGTATATTGGTGAGTCACTCACTTATTAATGATAGGTGATTAGCCAAGAAGAAAAATGGAAAAAAAATATATTTGAGGGGGTTTTTGGTTTGAACATTTGATCTCTGTCAGTTAACTATTTGATTTTGGATTTTCAATTCATTAATCTTCTTCTGGTTGTGTTATGTTGGATCCAAATTACAAAAAAAGTTGATTAAGATAGACCGTAGATAAGGAATAGTTGTATGTGTTGGACGAACTACATGTTCCAAACATTGCAACTTTACTGTGGATTTGTCTTCCTTGCATTTGAATTCACAGCCTTCTAGTTTTTATTTTTAGTATTTTTGTCTTGCTTATGTTTCTCATTTTCGTTTGAAACAGGTAGACTTTATTGGCAATTTTGGTAGTTTAGAGTGTCATGACATTTTCAATTGTAGCGAATACAAGTTAGGTAAGTTTAGTACATTAACTTTTGCTAAAAGTTTTACTTGCTCTCTTGCACCATTTGATCTTATTCATTCTAATATATGAAGACATTCTCTTATTTTCACAAATAGAGGGTCTGCATATCATGTCTTTTTTTTTTTTAATGATTATATAATGTACTGTTGGTTATATCTAATGAAACATTATCTTAATATTTTTTTTCCTATATTCGTTGCTTTTGTGACATGATACGCATCCAATATCCTTTGTTATTAATTATTTTTGATGTGATTCATAGGAGAATATTTTTTTTTAATTCTTTTCGGGATTTTTAAAATCTGGTGGTACTTTTTGGAACACTTTAACAAAATGATGTAGTGGAGTACAAATAGACACATTATGAAGACAACACACTCTCTTTTGTTGTCTGCAAATGTTCCGCATTCTTACTGCGATTGATCCAACTGATCACATCCCTACTGACCTCACTTTTGGAATTTCTATTTTTGTAAAAATTGTGGGGTAAGCCATCTAAGTAATTTTTCCATGAGTGTGTTCAGATGAGTCTTTTTTGTCTTGTTTCTTAGTGCCTTTCATACTAAATACTTGTCCTTTAATGTGGCAAATATGAAACTGCATTTCAAGCATAAAAAAATTAATCGTATAGTAACTCAAAAAATACTGAGGTCATCTCCTCGGGAAAAACTAGGACAAATTCTAAAAGGTGATATGATTCAAACAAAAAAAAAAAAAAAGATTGGTGTTCAAAGATGATTAAAATTGGTAAAA